TTCTTTAATTCTGTTTTGCCTCAGATGAACAAGAATGGGTCATGTTGGAAATAGAACATTGTTTATGCTCACTTCCCTAAGCTCTATTTCCCTGACATTCAGAATTGCTTACTGAAAATACTAAGGGTGGATGAGCTCATGGTTAAATAACAAGACTTTAAGTCTGACAGATTAACTCTCTATGGCAGTGTGGTAGAGCAGCAAGAAGCAAGAAAAGTGAAGAGTATCACCTGTTTTGAGGTTTACAGGACATGACACAATTCCATTAATAAATAAATAAAGGAAAATCCTACCTTGAGTGGATCCTACTGACCCAGCACCAATCTATAGAAACAACCAGAGCACAGACCTGTTAATATATTTATATTTATAAAGTATCCCAATAATGAGGTAAAAAACATGACTTGAGACCACCCTTAGTTCTGTTAGGGTTAGAGAAGAGAAAGCTTGATAAGCTTTAGCAGTGATAAGAATAGAAAAAGGCTGTAACAGAGATTGATGGAACTAAGGATCCTCTGTGAGAGCATAATAGGGGAATGATTAAGAATGAAGAAAGTTCACAGATGCGATACTGTAACATGACTAATATTACATAATCAAGATGAGTTTTGTTAGAGGACTCTATGGAGCAGTACATATGATACCTGTATATAATGATACAGGAATTTTTAGCAGATAACTAAAAATAGTTACCAACTTCAAGGTAAGAATAGTGTTGTTAGTGGATTTTTAGTCGGGGCTGTGAAAAACTATTTCTGAAAAAGGGCTATTGAAGTCTGAATCCGTTCTTAGTGAATCTGAAAGAGGCACCTTAGAAGTATTTACAAGTAAAATGCCATCTCTCTAGGGTGTCCTAGAGAGACAGGAGGATGATTCGGATGTCCTTTCCCTCAGAACATGGAGGCCTGTTCACTAAGACCAAGCCTCACATCATGTTTTGGGTCTACATGTCTTTTCTGATAATTACCCTGGTTCTTTTTTAGTTCAGAAATCGTGCTAAAAACAATTTCTAAGCTTGACTTTTCTCTTGAGAATATTTCTTCATCTTAGTTCTTATGTTAGTCTACACAGTGAACAAATTTGCTTAGAATGTAGTTTTTGAACCAGCATTGATTTGAGAACTCATTACTCACCTCACACTCTGGAATGTCCTTTCACAAGCTGTTAAGTTTTTAAATTGACACTGATTGGAAGAATTTGATGGTCATATTAACATGGGATCAATAATGAAAATTTTCAGCAGTATTTTTTGGTAAGCTTGTACCCTGGATTTTTTTCCCCAACAGTTGATTATAAAAAATTTTCAAACGTAAAATAGTTAAAATTTTATAGTGTACTCACCATTCAGATTCTAGTTCGCATTAATTATGCTTGTATTGTCACATACCTGTCCATCCAATTCATC